TAGACAAATAATAACAACAAGAATAATAATAATAATAATAATAATAATAATAATAATAATAATAATAATAATAATAATAATAATAATAATAATAATAATATTAATAATAATAATAATAATAATAATAATAATAATAATAATAACAACCCTAAAAATATAAACTATTATATATTTTTATAAGATAAATAATATTTTATTTTAGTTAATTGGTTATTTCTGGTTAACCATCTGAATATACCAAATACGTCAGTTCAATTTTGATTGGATTGATACAAAAGCTCAATCGATTCAGGTTGCACTATAACGACTGAAACCATGCACATTATGGTTAAACGAATTGCACATTTTAAAATTTTCTTTAAATTTTATTGTGTATATACAGTGAATCTATTTTGCACTTTAATTAATGTTATTGTGCATTTAGTATTCTTTATAAACTAAACTATGTATATAATCAATGAACTAAAGTGCAATTCTTATTTTATATATAGATACATTTAAAATTCTTGAAATTTGCATATAACTCCCTGCACCTTATCTAATTTACAATAATTTGCCCCAGCCCTAATTCAGCTCCAAGTAGGGATGAAAACGGTCGGGAACGGTCAGAAAAACCCCAAAACCATTCCCTTTCCTGTATTTTTTTACCGGGAACGGGATCGAAAACGGTTGAGCCGAACGGGAAAACAAAATCGATATTACGGGAATCGGGAACGAGAGAGTTCGATCGGGAACTAGTCGATTACGGTCGGGAATCGGAAACACTATACGGTATAATACATGTAACAACTTCAAACATTAAGCACGAAAAGAAATGTCCAGCTATGCATAAGCGAACACCAAGTTCTAACATTAGCAACAGCAAGAGCCCAAGTCTCAACTCTCAAGTACATAAGTATTAATATTAATACAAGACATTAGACAGTCATTGAGTCACAGACTCACACAGCACTACAACAGCCAACACGACAACAGACCACAAGTTTTGAAGTAAATAGTCCAACAGGGGCAAACTCCAAACATAAACAGACCAGCAGACCACAACTTAAATGCCATAGAAATCATGCTCATTTGCAGCTGACCATGACCCATGCGCATCCATTTCTCCATCACTGTCCGCAACATCATCGTCCTACAATACAAGAGGAATCATCAGACCAACTGCAATATCAAAATTTGTGATCAACCTAAGACAATGCTACTGACTACTCTCACTTATGGCTATCCTATCCTATCACGTTCACAAAAAGTAGACCAACAGGCAACAGGATTTTAAATCAAATTTTGAGAAGCACAAAATTATGTGACCTCAATAGTCAACTTTTCTACAAGGGCCTCAATAACTTCAAGATCACAAACAATGGAACCAACCTTCTTTTCTGAAAATCAAACAATCAAACAAGACAAAATCAGCAAATATGATTAGGAGATGTACAACTTTTCTGAAAATCAAACAATCAAACAAGACAAAATCAGCAAATATGATTAGGAGATGCTGTACAGCAAACTCATGAAATGTTGTATTGTAACTAACCTCTTCTTCCTGCAGCAATCCAATCTTTCAAGCATATCAAAGCTTCAACAATTTCAGGTTCAAGGCGGCTACGGAAAGGATCAACTACACGTCCACCAGCACTAAAAGCTGATTCAGAAGCTACAGTAGAGACTTGTACAACCAGCAAATCATGAGCTATTCTTGAAAGAACAGGATACTCATCAGTCTGGTTCTTCCACCATGCCAAGACATCAAACTGACCACTAAGCCGGAGAGGTGGATCTGCCATATACTTATCCAACTCATTCATTTCAGCACCATTCGGCCCACTAGACTCATACAGGTAGCTCTCTAGTTCGTCATCTCCATTATCCACTAAAAGGTCCGCTGTATCGATCTCCATATGACTAGGTGCATTTGATTTGCCTTTATGCCTCGAAGACATGGGTGCGTCATGAACATAGAACTGGTACAGTTTCTTGATGACATCAACAAGTTCATCAACATGAACATGAGATGCATTTCCATGGAATTTTCTCATGTAGAACTCTATAAGCCTTTTCTTATACCTAGGATCTAGGAAACAAGCAACAGCAATTGTGGTGGATGACTTCTTCCAATATTTTTCAAACTTCCTACTCATAGAAGTAGCCATTGTACAAATAGTGTTATCTTGACTAACGGACCATTCATCTAGCAAAATCTTTATCTCACAAAACCCTATATAGAACAGATTTGCAGTGGGGTATAGAGTACCAGAAAATAGTTCAGTGAGATCAAAGAATTTCTTCAAGCATTGGAAAAGTTTGAATGCCATAGCCCATTCACTAGGAGATGGAGTAATGTTTTCATACCTACGGTGATCTGATGATTTCAACCTCATGAATGCATTCTTATAGTACAAGGCATCTCGGAGCATCAAATATGTTGAATTCCATCTTGTTGATACATCAAGTGACAGGCCCTTGTTTGTATCCAGTCCACACTCAGTTGCACGCTTCATGAGTTCTTCCCATTGCAAGGGAGATCCTTTAACAGCAAGAACAAGTTTTCTAATATTCTCAATTGTGGGTGTGATTACACTCAAACCATCCCTAGCAACTAGGTTTAGTATGTGACAAGCACACCTCACATGAAAGAATAGGCCATCACATACCAAAGCTGAAGCACTAGAATTAGCCCTCAGATCAGATATGATGTCTTTGACTGCAACTTCATTTGCTGATGCATTGCCCAAGGTCAGGGCAAACAATTTCTTGTCAATATTCCACTTAACCATGAGTTCAGTAAATGTCTCTGACAACTTGGCACCAGTATGACGGCCCTCTACATGCACAAAGTTCACAATCCTTTTCTGAACACACCAATTTTCATCTATCCAATGAACGGTGACACACATGTATGATTTGTTCTGATTTGAAGTCCACATGTCCATGGTGGCACTGAGCCGGTAAGGAACAGATTTGAAATAAGCATACAACTTCTCCTTTTCCTCTAAGAACATGTTCATAATTTCTTTCCTAATGGTAACTCTAGATTTGATTGGAAAGCTAGGGCGTAGTGATTTGATGAAATCAACAAAATACTCGTGCTCAGATATATTGAATGGATACTCATGCATGACTATTGCCAAGTAAAACTTTCTCAAGTTGGCCTCTTCATCATACCTGTATGTTACAACAGCTTTGATTTCTTGTGCACCATCTTTTTCCACCTTTAATTGCTGCTGGCCCGTCTGTACACTGTGTGCTACCCTCAAATGTGTCCAGAAACCTGTTGTCCCATAATTTCCCTCACATCTGGCCTTGTGCTTGCACTTTGGATAATTGCAATGAGCCCACTTCTGAATATAAACCTTCCCATTATCCTCAATGACAAGCTTCTTTTGGTAAAGTACTTCCACACACCAGATGTGCACCTCTTTTGCCTCTTTCCATCTAGTTCATATTCATCTCCACTTGGCGCCTCATCACCTTCAACAACGGTGGCATTTGCAGTATTTGCTCCTTCTTGTCCACCAGGATAGTTAGCACCAGTACCAGCATCATCAACATTGTGGCCACTAGAACCAGAACCTACAGCAGCAACTCCACTCACACCTCCACTTGGCAAAGAAGATGCATCGGTTGCTGTTGCTGGGCTAGATGAAGGAGTTGCACTAGACAAACACAAACCAGGACCTTGACTTTGACCAGGGCTTCCATTTGTTAAACTTGACCTCTTAGATCCTACCAAGAGAAAAATAAAAAATATACATTAGTGAACTGAAGTAACAAGAGCAATGCTAATATCTATAATTTAACGCATGATGATCTAGTAACAAGAGCAATGCTAATATCTATAATTTAACTTAGAGCATCAGTGAAGTACTAGATTTAGTAAAATTAACTGATCAGTAAATAATTTAAAATTATTTAATATCACAGTTCACTGAATCGCATCAGTGATATTAAAATTATTTAATATCACATTTCAATGAATCGCATCAGTAATGTATTTACTATATCATCAGCAAAAAATTCTTAGAGCATCAGTA